AGTTTTATTATAAATTTTATTTACTATGAACTAATTATTATTATTTTTATTGTTATCATTATTACATTTTCGTCCCTCAGGCCCACTTCTGCCCGGGTAGGCTAATCCTGTAAAAAAAAATACTGGTGGGTGTTAGAAACAGCAGTGTGTGATGGTTAAATTGATGCGTGGCAGAAAAAGTATTGATTGTCCGTAAACTTGGTGAGATGGCAATCACTTACAATGGTGAGTAATACGGCAGGTGAAGGGGTATTGGTGTGCTTGAGAGGCCTAGAGAATAACTCTTTAATTTTGTTTGTAGGACATCTAAGATGTCCCCCACGAAATGGATAACTCTGTCATCCTGGCACTGAGGAAATGACATTTAAATTTAACATTTAAAATTTTAAGAAAAAAAATTCCGGTCATCAGTTCTAGAGTCTGATAAAATGGAATTTCTACACCATCTTCAACATATAAATGTAAATGTCAAAAAAGCCAATTGGTCGGAAAAAATCCAAATTTTAAATATGTCAAATTAAAATTTCATAATCTCGGCTACTGACAGGATGGCAAAGAGTTATCCATTTTTTTTACATCTCAGATGTCCCACTAATAAAATTTTGAGATATATTCTTTTTGCACCGCGTGCGCACAAATACCCGCTCAGCCACCGTATTAGTATTGGTAGGGTGGTATAGGTTGGTAAAAGTGGCGAGGGTTAGTAAAACTAAACGGTGTTGACAACAGAAGTGGGTGTATTTTATACAGGTGAGTGACAGTAACAATGATGGGTGTATATAAGAGAGTGACAGTAGTAGTGATGAGAGTAGGTTATATAAGTGAGTGACAATAACAATGATGAGTGTATGTTTTATAAGTGACCGAGAGTAACGATGATGAGTGCATGTTACAGTAATGTTTGTTGGGAACACCAACAAGCCTTGGTATTGGCAACAATACTGATAAAACTGATAGTTATCGCTTACTGTGGTGAATTTGAAAACAGTGGTGAGTGTTAGTCACAATGGTGTATGTTGGTAACAGTGGTAAGTGGCTGTAATGAGAGGATGGTGTTGATAACTGTTGTGAGTGTTGATGACAGGGGTGATGATGCATAGTTAACAGTGGTAAGTGGTTGTGAGAGAGGAAGGTGTTGACAACTGTTGTGGGTGTTGATGGCAGGGGTGATGGTGCATGGTAACAGTGGTCGGTGTACATTACAATAGCTAGTGCTGGTAAAAGTTGTGTGTTGATAATAGTGATGGTTGTTGGTTACAAAGATATGCGTCAGTAACACTGAAGGGTGTTCATAATAGAAGTGAGTGTTGGTAACAGTGATGAGTGTTGGTTACAGAGGAGAGTGTTGGTAACAGTCATGAGTTGATTACAGTGGTGAGTACTGGTAATAGAAGTGAGTATTGGTAATAATGGTGAGTGTTGGTTACAGAGGTGAATGTTAGTAACAGTCATGAGTTGATCACAGTGGTGAGTACTGGTAACAGAAGTGAGTGTTGGTAACAGTAGTGACTGTTGTGGATGTTTGTAACAGTGGGAGTTAATGGTAACACTAGTGGGTATAGGTTATATATATATATATATATATATATATATATATATATATATATATATATATATATATATATATATATATATATATATATATATATATATATATATATATGAGTGATAATAACAGTCAAAGGTGTTGTTAGGGTGTTGAATGTAGAAAACTACACGGGTGTTGGTAATTGTGGTGGAAATTTGCAAAAGTCATGAGCATTGGTAGTAGAGGTGAATGTTGGTAACAGTGATCTGGTATAGTTGTGAACGTTGGTGAGTGATACATGTTCATGTCAGTTATGGGAACACTAATAGGTTTTGTAACTGGTGAGTGTTGATATTAGTGGTTACATTCATCAGTGTTGTAAACAGTGGTATGAAGTGAGTTTTCTTAGCAATGGTTGATGTTGGTAACAATGGTGGGTGTTGGTAATTTTTCAGTGCTGCTTAAGTATGTTGGTAACTATGGCAAGCGTTCTCAAGGCGGAAGGGTGTTTTCTAAAATGGTTAGTTTTGGTTACAGTGGTGAATGTTGGTAACTGTGTCGAGTAACAGTGATGGGTATTGGTACAATTTTTGGGTGTTATTAAGAGTTGTGAGTGTTGGTTTAAGTGGTGCGTCCAGCTGTGGAGAGGAGGCGCTCCTGATGCTCTCCGCCACTGCGTCCCTCATGGCGCCCAGTGACTCAGTAACTGCCTGTTTTATTGAGTCCTTGATGGTTCTTATCTCTGATTGCAGGACTTCCATGGTCTCGCTGACATTGTTGAGTTGTTGTGAGTCTGCTTGAGTTTCTTTCAGAGCGTCTTTTAGGGCTTGGCTGTAAGCCATGATCGTCGACTGAGTGGTCTTTTTTATGGTGTTATAAATTTCCCTGGTTTCTTCTTGCTTGGTTATTTCGGTCAGTTTCTTCTCTGTTTCTTGAGTTACCTGTTTTCTGACCAGGCAGGTGGCAGAGAAAGTCCTGTGGCCACCCTCGCAGACGACACACTTTTTGATGGTGCTACGGCAGGCTATGTAGAAGTGCTGATCGGATGAACACTCAGAGCATATGACTCCTTGCAGGGGGCAGTTCTTGGTCATGTGGTCATTTTATTTATAGCACTTCATACATTGTTGGATGGGCGTATACTTTTCATATTCTATTTGGTGTGATGAGATAGAAGTGCCATATGCATAGAGCCCCTTCTCCTTCATTCTTTTTGCAACCGTTGTGTCTGCAAAGCGAACCTTGATTATAGTACGGGCATACATAGGATACACCTCCATAATCTTGACATTGTTTTGCTTTTCTATTTCATCTCTTATTTCATCTGCATTATTTTCCACTACATCTTTGTCCAACTTCTTACATACAAGGGTGAGCTTGGCGCCGTATTCCCGTGGGACAATGACCTCGTAACCGTTAGTTTTCATTTTGTCCATGGCACTAGACTTAAGTATCAGCATCTGCATCTGTCTCTGTGAGGATGATGTAACTATCTCTCAAATCCACAAGTCTATTTATCCTCACCCTTAGGTCGCTCAATAGCCCTTTTAGCCCTATCCGAGACCCCTGGGTCGGGGTTCCGGAGATCTTCATTCTCACTTTGGCCATGGTCAGTAACACACATGAAAATCCTATCTAGTCTGTCCGCCTCAGCTAAACCCCAAGGATGCCGCTCCTTCTGTCCGCTTGCTGGCGAGTAAAGACGGGCCCAAGGGTAGGGTGAACAGACATTCCCCTGACGGGGGCCTAGCCAAACCCTAACACCTAACAGTGACAGGTTATGAAGTACTGCCGAATCCCTAACAGAAGATATTGCCTCCCATACTGTTTCGACTCAGCAGCCCTCTGAGGGCCCCCTTTGTGGCTCTGTCCACAGGGTTCGCGTCGTTACCAAACAGCAGGGACTCTAGGCGAAAGGATAGGACAGGGAAGAAGCGCAGTGTACAAGAATGATAATATCCATGTACAACTACAAGATAAAGTAGCCAGAGCGAACCCACCGTGAAAAACAAGGCTGACAGTCGTAACGGTCAACAATTTGAACATGAGCTTGGAGCGACGCGCAACACGTCTGCTCACTGTGAAGGTTGGGTGATACAAGTAATAGAAGCTCCAAAAAAGTTGTTGGTAGCAAAAGTCAGAGCTGGGAAAATGACAGAGGAAGAAGCAAGGGGTTAGGAAGGGAATTGTAGCATGAGATAGAGCAGTGGCTTTACACGACATGCTTTATATTTGATTTACCGCAGAGCGCACGAATTGGGTTTTTGTCTGTGTTGGGTGTATGATCCTCGGGTCACCACTCCTCCGGATTGTGTTAGATACAAGTAATAGAAGCTCCAACAGTTTTCCCTGAATACGAATTCGCAACTTTTCGATTTACAACAGGTACCTACTTACTACTAGGTGAACAAGGACCAAGGAAGAGTGTCCAAACAACTTTCCTCTGGCCCGGGAATCGAACATGTGACATCTGGCTTGCGAGGCAAGAGCGGTACCGCTATACCACCGGCGCCCCAGGTTGGGCGCACTCAGGTCAGTGGTCTATACTCTATACCGTGCTTCAAAACGTATGAGTAGCGTGCTCGGAAACCACAGGTGGAAACTGATGGTGTAGACTGGGTCTTAGGTGTTGGTAACAGTGGTGAGTGTTGGAAAACATTGCTTGTACAATATAACAGTAATAACAGGTGTTAACAGTGTTGAATATTGGTAACAGTTGTGGGTGTTAATTAGGTGGTAGGTCTTAACAATAGTAGTAGGTGTTGGTAACATGGCGCTATTCATGGCGTGTAATGTTATCAGTAAACAGTTAGAAACAGTTCTGAATATTGGCAACAGTGGTGCGCGGTGGTAACAGTGATGAGTGTTGATACCTGTGGAGATTCTTGGTAATAGTTATGCATTTGGTAGAAGTAGTAGTAATTGTTGGTCAGAGTGAGTAGTGTTGTTTAAAATGGTTAGTGTTTGTAAAAATGTTGTGGTAAATGTTGGTAATAGTGGTAGACGGTGGTAAGATTCATCGGATATATCATTGGTGAGTGTTGGTAACACTGGTGAGTGTTACTAGTAGTGGTGAGAATTAGTAACAAAGGTAGGGGTTGATAACAGAGATGAAAAATTCTTGGTAACAGGTAAAAAAAAGGTTAGTAATAGTGAAGAGCGACTATTGGTAACCAGCAAATAAGTGTTGGTAACAATGTGTGATATGTTGAATTGAATTGAATTGAAACAGTTTATTTAGCCAGAAAAACACAGATACAGAGTGGATAATAATAACAATATTAACATGGCTGAGCCATGTTAAAAAAAAAAAAAAATATATATATATATATATATATATATATATATATATATATATATATATATATATATATATATATATATATATTTCATTAGCCCAATAAACACGCAGACTTCTACATACAATCAACACCTCAACCCGCCAGGATTCGAACCCACGGCCCACGAGCCCATGACTGTGACCGGGGAATGCTAACTGCTGGACCACCAGGATACTAAAAGCAGTCGCTCTTCACTATATCACTACTTTGCAGCACATTGATCAGAGTAGTAATAACCAGGGACTAAAAACAGAATTTTATCCTTGGTTATAACCTGGTCATGTAAGACACCACAGCTCCTCTCTTTCTAAGCGACACCACACAGCGTTTGCTACCCGTAAGTGTTTAACCGTACATATACTGGTGTTGTGCTTCCAGAATTAGAGTACTACTACATAACTGCGTCTCAAGAAAATCCCTGCCATTTGCATGTCTTCAAATACTGACGAGACACTAAATACAGGTGACTTTAACAGTGGTAGTGTTACAATAGTGTATGGGTAAATGGCAAGAATAGTAAGCTTTGGTTACAGTTGTAAATGATTAGTATGAGTGGTAAGTGTTGGTTCCAGTCGTGATTAGCTGTTCGTAGCAATGGTGGGTGAGTATTGGTACCAATGGTGAACGAGTACTTGTACCAATAGTGAGTGTTGGTATGAGTGTTGGTAGCCGTGGTGGATGAGTATTTGTACTAGTAGTGGGTGAGTGTTGGTATGAGTGTTGGTAGCCGTCGTGGATAAGTATTGGCACTAGTAGTGGGTGAGTGTTGGATGGAGTGGTGGGTGAGTGATGGTAGGGGTGGTGAATGAGTATTGCTACCAGCTGTAACTGAGTGGGAGCAACACAGAACCAACCTTCTGGAGTGGGTGGCGGCTGCGGGCCCACGTAGTTCCTTCCTGTAAAAGCACAAACAGGAGTACATATGGTGTAGCTGCACAATGTATGATTATTTTACAGTAGTTGCTTGACCTCAGCTACACCAGTAAATTTAATTGTAAGATATCTTAGAATTTTGGAAGTGATGCAAGGATGAGCAGTTTAAGATGAGTTGATATTTTATAGCACATTTTTGTGACGAATTGACATTGGTGAATGGATTCTAATAGTTTATATACATTAAATCAGATAGTGGCACGCACACCTTCCATTTATTAGTGTTCTCTTCACTGCCTTCTCTCTCTTGTCCTCCTCTACATATACTCACGCACATGAGACATACAGCCCCATAGTGACTTCTATCTCTCTCTTGTCCTCTTCTACATATACTCCTCTATACATAGTCACACACATAAGACATACAGCCTCACGCAGTCTTCTATCTACCCGACTCAACGGGTTCAAACGAAATACTTGACATAGTATGCATCACTCCATGGCACCACAATTTTCCATAGCTTGATCACTCCTTCTAATGTCTTAGTGTTAGGGTTAACCGCATTTCAAACTCCCTCTCTTCTCATCCACGCACTTTTCTTACTAAGCTAGAATGATGATCATCTTACCTTTTTTCTCACAAACGAACGCCATGCGTTCCTCGCAGTTCATGTCATTCCACTTTCCGTCTTCAAGGTACATATCTGGGAGGAGTAAGGTACAGAGCTTATAGTCATGTTAGGAGCTGACTATAATGTTTTTGGAATCCATATGTATATAATAGAGGGTTTTTTTTTTAAACGAGAGCCCTAAATGATTCCTATATAACAGGTAGGGTTCTGAAATATAAAAAAGGCCCAATATAAAGTAGACGTTTATAATGTGTCCCTGAACCCAAAGATAATTTTCATTCTTATTCTGAAGGCCTACACTTATACAAAAGTTCAGTTGTTTTTGGCTAAATAATCCCCCAGAACATGTTTCAGATCAGGAGTTTAAATTTGATAAAGTAAATTTTGTTATACCCAAAGACACAACAGAAGGGTCGTCTTTATATAAATGAACACAACAATTTAAAAAAATAAAATAACGTGTCAAGTCTGAACATTAGTAAGTTGTGAGGATTATGTTTACAGTGAATATTATAGTCACTGATATAATATTCATTATTCTGCATGAGTATGCTTGTCCTTATGTGTATTTTAGTTACATAATTTGGAAATGGCTCACAAATTTGACATAATATATATGGAACATAAAGGTGCAAATTTGATGTACTGTATAATAACAAGTTGGGGAAGGTCATACAGCAGGGAATTTCAGCAAAGTGACAATACAAAAGTAAAGTTGGCAGCAATTGAACACACTAATTAACTACGAGTTATTGATAATTTCCGAATAGTTGGAATTGGGCTGTTCTTATAGCGATCAATATACAGTAAGTACATGGTCGTATGGGCTGGATACGGTTGTAGTATCGAACAGCAATTCTTGGACGTGAGATTTTGGGTAGGAGCAGGAAACTGTGTCGAAGGTGGTGCAAAAGCTTCTCCCCAAACTAACTGATGAAGTCATGGTGATCAGAGAGGGCCGAGGGGTCAGTGTGTTGAGTGGTTCTTGATATGGGGAGTAGGAAGGGGAGAGAATATTCTTGTACGCCCTAGTCTGCATTTTTATAGGTGTCTCAGTTATGTGGCATTTAGGGAGGAAGACCAGGCAGGGGAAACCTTGGTGAGTTTGGGAAGTATGGATGTTGAATAAGTACTAAGGAAGTCGGGAGAAGGAACTTGATGTGCTGGATGAGATGGAGACGAGACGAAAGCTAGATTTGCCAATTCCCCCACTGACGTGTGGGGGAATAGTCCACAACTTGGAGTAGTTGGGACCAATGTTATTGAGGGAGGTGGGACAAGGTCAGAGGAGAGGTTGATGCACATAACCACTGTTTAGTATAGTTGATGGTGACATGGTTGTCAGTGGCCAAGTTTTGGACACTGTTCAATATATTCTGGAGGACGCTGTAGTCGGGAGCAGAATTGTTCACACTGATTCCAATGGTGAAATTGTTGACATATTTCCAGCGAGCGGGAGTTTCTCCCAAGGCATCATTGATAAGGATGATTAAACAGCTGTCCTATCTTGGTGCCTTGGGAAACGCCTCAGGTGAATGACTAAGGAGTGGAAACAGCCCCCCGAAACATACAGCTTGGCGTCGGTCACTAAGGAAGTCCGTAATAAGACTTCTCCGAAACCTGAGGACAATATTTAAGTAGTGGTTGATAAAATCGAATGCCTAGGTGAGGTCACGGCCGATTTAGCTCCCGGGGATTAACGACAGTTCAATGGTTAGTTTTAGTCGTGAACAGCTCTGTCTTTTTTTAAGGCTGAGTTAATAAAGGTCAGGGTCGAAGATGCGAGACCGGGAGAGTCTGTGTCTGACAACAACACAGGAGAGGACCGACCAAACTGATGGTAAAAATGACAACAAGGAAACGACAAGAGCTAAGTGTATTAATTTTGTTAATTCTTTGCTCTACGAATTGGCCTGTAACAAAGTCGAGGACAAGGCTGAAAAGGAAGGTACGAAAACCTTAATTGCTGGGGGTTCCCAGGTAAGGTAACTAGATAGAGCTTTCTGGGCACAAAATAGAAATAGGATGAGGGTGTGTTTGCCAGTAGCTGCGGTAGGGGATATGGTTGAGAGGATGGACAATATCATGTCTGGTAATGGGAACTAACCCGTTATCTGCCTTGGTGCAGTGGGCAATGATATTTGCGGATGTAGGAGTGAGGTTCTCCTTGATAATTTTGTAATGATTGATTGTCAGACCAAAGCTTACAGCCCAGAATTACGTCACATATAACAGCAAGTTGGATAAGTTTAGGTTTAGGAGAGGGATAGGAAGGAACTGGTTCACAAATAGGGTGGTGGATGAGTGGAACAAGCTTAGCAACTTTGTAGTAAGTGCTGGAACTCTGGAAAGTTTCAAAAGGAGGCTAGATAGATTCATGGATGATAGAGAGTGGTAGTAACTCTCGACAGGAGCTGCCATGCACAGGCCAACCGGCCTATTGCAGACTCCTTATTTTCTTATGTTCTTAAGTACACTGCAGACCTCGTGGTACCCCAACATCCCAGGTAGACACACCCCAAGACGCAAGGGACCCGACCTCGCCGCTAATTACTTGAATTAGCGGGTGACCTCACCTGACCTAGACACCTAGGCATGACCACACCTGCACACAGCTATCCAGATATAACTAGTTTAGTGTTAATTGGTTAGAAGTCAAAAGCCGGCTGGGCCGACCCCATATAAAGGCCCTACAGTCCCGACCACGCTGATTCTCATTCTGTTTGGGATTCTGACCTTGTCATTCTGGCAACCTGGTTACTGTCATCTCTCTCCCGTCCGGGCCGTCAGTCTGTCCACTCGCACAGAGTCACGCTCGGCTTCTCCCTAGGTCGGGGGGGGAGACTCCCCGACGTCATCAGCTAAGCAGAACCCTCCATAGGAGACAGAGCCCAGCCAACACCCACTGGGCCTTCGTCAGGGTACACGTGAGTCATTGTCAGAGCAACCTCTAGGGTGAGTTACCTACTGTGGGAAGTGTATTCATTCATGTGTGTCCGAGAGTCAGTGTCGGGTAACGTAAAACATAATGTGTTAGTACCCCAATATAATAATGATATTGATGTGTCCATGTCATTGAGTGAATTAATAAATAGTTGTATCGAAGAGGTGTTTAACAAGTGGTCCCTTTAAGAACGAAATATATGTGTATTGACATACAAGATAAGATAAGCGTATTGACGCTGAGTAAATAAAATCCCGGCAACGCTACCAAGTTTCCTATCTTTACATTTCTACTCTCCATATTTCCTACTATATGTAATCCTCTTCTCTTCTTGATTATTCTGTCTCATTAAAATTTCAAGGCATTATATTGACAGTATTAGAATTAAGTGAGGGATCCCTATCATATGTGGTGTCCTGCCTAGAAGGAGAGTTGACAAAGAATGGTTGTCAAGGGCAGATGGTGTAAACGATCATCTTGACAGATATTGCAAGTCAATATCAGTCCCATTCATTGACAACTGGGACAATTTCGACTGCAGAAGGGACCTTTATGCTAGGGATGAGGTGCATTTATCTAGGGATGGGGTGGCAATTGGCTTACTCTCTCGAGAAGACAGTTCAAAAGATGTCGAAGTCTTTAAACTGCTAGGGGACCATGTGAGTAAGGGAGACTGCAGTGGGCGTGGGTAAACAAAGTGAGAGGTTGCAGAGAAAGAGGCAGAGAGTTAAAACCTAAACGTGACAGTGAGAAGACTCAGATCATGACTAACGTAAATGTCTACTACACAAACAGTAGAAGTATGAGTAATATAATGGATGAAATCAGGGATTTGGTATGTACCGAAGCAATCGATATAACGGCATTCACCGAACATGGATAAACTTAGACTCACATGAGTTACCTGTTGAATATCAAATTTAGGGTTAAAAATTAAGTTATACCGATAAGCTGATTAGGAAAGGAGGTGAGGTAGCAATCTATGTTGGGGATAATTTGAATTAATAAGGAAATAAAAACTGAACTGTATTCAGAAACAATTTGGATAGAATTTACCTATGGTAGGGAAAAATGAATCAGAGGATTTTTTTTTTTAAAGTTCAAGACTGTTTCCTAACTCAACATATAACCGAACCCTCCCAGGGTAATAATATACATGTATCCTCAAGAATCGCGGGGTTTTGGTTCCAGAAAACTACCGTGATAAGCTAAATTGTACAGTTTGAAACGCATAAAATATGGGAAAAATTAGTTTCGTTCAACGACCCCAAAGATGCATCAACTAACTGACCAAAATATACCCCCAAAAATGTGTAGGTACACTAAAAGATATAATAATAGTAACATATCTTTACCATATTTTTCGGCATATAAGACGCACTTTTATATCTGAAAAATGGCAAAACAAAATCAGCCTGCATCGTAGATGTGAAGTTGAGGTCTCCTGTAAGCTAATGAATTCCAAAGCTGCTGTCTCCAGTAGGCTAAATTCTCCCAAGCCCAACACCAGAATTAAAAATATGTTATTGCTTACTTAAACATATTATTATTTCTAATTAATTATGCAATGACTATTGAAAATATAAAAGTTCGAATCAGAACTACCTGAACTGTACTGATGATGATAACCCAAGACGATAAACGTCCGTCCGGCAGACACCCAACTCTTCAGAGGTAGCTAAGCAGTAACCATTTCTGAACTCTTACAAGCAATACACTCTATTACTTCCATACATGCAACATTTATTTTTAAATGTACAAATACCTGATACAAATGAAGATTTACATATAACTTTCCTTTCACATTTGCGTCTGTTACATCGCTGGCAGCATTGCAGCTATGTTAGACTCGTCACTATAACAATCAGGCTACTGGTGTTATGGTTGTTTTTCATCTCGCATTTTCGCTTAGATACACATAACTTTCTTCAATTATATTTACTCAGTTAAGAACATAAGAACATAATAATGGAAGAATTTGCAGCGGGCCTATTGGCCCATACTGGGCAGTCCGGCTTACACCCAACCCCTATTGCTCATATAAACATCCAACCTATGTTTGAAGCTATCCAGCGTATTCGAGTTAATGATGATATTTGGTAACTTGTTCCACTCGTCCACTACTCTA